ACAGACACACACAGACACACAGACACACAGACACACACAGAGATACACACACACACAGACACACACAAGATACACATAGACACACACAGACACACACAGACATACACATACACAGACACACAGACACACACACATACACACAGACACACAGATACACACTCATACATATACACACACATACAAACACAAAGTAAAGAACCCACAAAAGCTTGGAGGGAGCTAACAGGGGAGGTGTTGAAAGTAATCAGAGCGCGTTACATACATGAAATTGTCAAAGAGGCGAATTTAATTATTAAAAAGCCTCCCAGATAAACGAAATCATTAAAACAAGCATCATGGATAATTTAGCTTCTATTCTGAGCAGAAGCTAAATTCGTATCGTCAATAAAACATAGAAGGTCATTGAGTACTCTGGATGGCCAAGTGGGATCCATGAACGTACTGCTGATAAAACATGGAGTCTAACAGGATGACAGGGGGTATTCTCCTGTGTCCAGAACACAGAGGCGGAGGCTAGAGATATGGTTTAATGGTACTCTCTTTAAAGGGAAAAACAACACATAGAATTTAGAAGTTTTAACTGACGAAATCCATCAATTGTGATGCAGCTGCCAAGCACAGCTAACATGGATTTTCAGCTGCGTGAATAGATACGCACACCTACAACAAGAGAGGCAGTAATCAGCTCCACTCTGCACAAGTCACACGTATACACTGGGCACTGGGTTTGGGGCTCCAATAGCCTGAGAAGATCTGTTCAAAGAAGACTGGGGGTGCGAGCAGGGCTTGCAAAACAAGGTGGGAGGAGAGAAAGGTGTGGCCTGATCCATGGCACCCCTTGAGCTTGAAGCTGTCTTAAAATTTATGGAGGCCTTCTGTGTTGGAGGGCACCATTATGGGAACACAAATTTTCATGACTCAGAATATTCCAAAGATGACAGAATTGCTCAGAAGAAAAACAAAACAAAACAAAACAAAAAAAAACAAAAAAAAAAACCCAGCCAGTCCCCGGTCACAGAAAGTCTTCTAATCTACTTGTTGACAATAGAAGCAAGGGTTATCTTTTAGAGATTTATTATTTTATTTATGAACGTGTGGACACACATACACGTCGTGTTCATGCAGGAAACCTAGAAGGTGGGAACTGGATCCCCAGAACTGGAGTAGTAGACTGTCGTGAAGCGTCTGATTTTGATGCAGTGCTCTTAAATGCTGAGCCATCTCTGTAACCCCGTGGCAAGGATTTGAAAAAAGGAGCGTTAGGTGAGACAAAACTTCCGATCCTATAATTCTTCATTAGAATCTAGTGTTCTTCACTATGTTTTGTTAGCATCTGAGTTGATATCCAAACTGTAAAGTGGATTCTTGCAGGTTTTGGACATTAACCTTGAGTTCAAGAGGTTATGGGTAATATAAAGAGGTTATGAGTAATATATAGGTTTGAGTGTTTATAATTTAACAGAGCCTGAGGCCCCCATTGAAACTCACATAGATCAGGACAAGTTAAAATTCCATGTAAAATGGACAAATGAAGGCACAGGGTGTGGGGGTTGGAAAGGTGGGTGGATCCTCTTAGAGAACACTTCAAAGTCTTGGTTTGTGTGTGTTGTGCGTTAAGAGAAGATGAGAAATCATGGAGGCAAGGACACACAGAATCAGCAGGCACCACAGGTCATCTCTTTACTTTGACTGCAGAGTGTGGTGCTCCTGGCTGGGCTGCTGCATGACACAGGCACAGATCCCTCTGGAGTGTCCTGGTCATCACTGCACTCCCACACATACACACACCCCAGCTCCACAGCTCCTGCTATGCGCAGCCAGAGCCGCTGACAAACTCTGATGGGAGATTTTAGCAAGTAAGCCTTTTCTTACTCTCCTGGTGCCTTTGAGCTCTTCCTAACCCAGCCCCTTCATCCTTGAAAGCAAGTACTTCCTCCTCTCGGCCCTGCCGCTACTGATCCCAATTATAAGAATAAATAATTCCATGTATTTATTAGGGCATTATGATTCTGGGTGCTTTGGGCATTTACTTTTTCCTTGGTCCATCCAGACAGTCGTGGAAAGTATTTTAGGGCAGGAACTACCTGGAAGGGCATCAGAGTACTTGCTCAAGGTCACACTGAGGAGACAACCCTGTTCTAGAATAAGAGTCCTCTGACTCTTGAGCAGGCTTAGTGTATGTTATTGAAAATGGCACCTTCATGCTCCCATTCCTGGGACTTTCTGTGTTCTGACCTAACAGGATCATGCCGTCATTAGACCTTCAGAATCTCCCAGAAGGCTTGAGTCCACAGAGAAGTGTGGATGGGTACCAACATCACTGGTACCCATCAAGGGCTTCTTCATAATAGAGTCGGCTTTTGCAAATGAGGGCTAGCATTGGGCACTAGTCGGGAGACTATGTCTGCTTCCATTTCACTTCTCGTATAACGGTTTGTAAAATAAGTTCACACACGACAAGCAAGCTGTCATGCGAGTGTGGAAAAACATCAAGGGTATTCATTGAATCAAGTAAAACTTAGAGCAAAATTAATATAGCACACTTAATGATATCACAGAATTAATGCTCGGCGTGGCTGTTAGGCATAGATGCCAAACAGCTTATACGAATGGCTCTAATTAGAATTATAGCAGAAACAAATCAGTTTCTAAGTTGCTCTCGTCCCATTTTATTGGTTCTCTGATATTTATGTAGTTGCATTTTGCTGCCTGAAGTTTAACTTGATGTCATTTGCCATCCAGCATCTGGGCTGTTTCAAGCATGAAAAGGTAATTCAGGGCCAAAGAGACCCCACCTTGCTTCCTTTGAACTACGTCTACTCCTGACCTTGGGGTGTCTTTATCTCACAATGGGGTCCTTTTCTCCTCTCTTTGCCTCCATGGCTTTCTTCCTATCGAGATGGGTTAGCTGGAAGGGAAGAGTAGCAAGCTCACATACCTGTCATTTACAGAAGAGATGTCTTACTCTTGGCCCAGAGGAACCTTTACATCCCTAGATGCTGAGCAGATTCATAGACAGCCCTGAATTGTGAAATCTGGAAGGACTGGCATGTTCTGCTGAACACAACCCTAAACCACTGTGCCATTGCTTCAAGTTTCTGGCCTTTGGGGGTGGTGAGCAGTGAGCTGGAATTCAGAGTCTGAGATGCTGTCCCTGACCACAGCTCTCAAGCCAGTATTTTGTCTGGGTCCAGTGAGTGGTTTCTCAAGAGCTGGAAGAATGCCAGTCAAAATGGCTCATCCGTGCTGTTTATTGTATATGTATGGTGAAGCCCACTCCCTGCAGAAGAGGATTAGACAGTGACTGGGCCATGGCAAAGTCTGGAACAGTAATGGAAGCCTGGCCTTAGATGGGAGTCCCAAGTGGACATGGGACAAGGGTAAAAGGATGGAGGGTTCTGGAAGAGCTACATTCTTATCCTTTACATGTGTCCAGGTATCTTCTCAGTACTTCTTAGAGCTGATCACAAGGCTGCTTCCTCGTTAGTGGCATGCCCATCTATGAGTCTTGGAGTTTAGTGTGGCAAGTGACAATGTGTGTGTGTGTGTGTGTGTGTGTGTGTGTGTGCATTAAACCTTCAAAATAGTTCTTGAGAACCACAATGCCCAGCTGGAGTTCTTTCTACAAGAGAGGGAAAGGATAGGAAGTAGGGGCCAGAGGGGGAGGTTCTCCATGCATGGCCAGAGGAAAGGCATGAAAATGTTGTTACCATGACCTGGAAGGTAGCTCTGTTGGGGAAGCGCTTGCCTTGAAAACACCAGGACCTGAGTAGTTCCATTCTCAGAAACCACATTAGAAAGTAGAAAGGAAAGAGAGAGAGAAAGAGAGAGAAAGAGAGAGAGAGAGAGAGAGAGGGAGGGAGGGAGGGAGGGAGGGAGGGAGGGAGAGAGAGAAGAAAGAGAGGAAAAAAAGGGAGGGAGGGAAAAAACCCAGGTATAGTGGCGTGTGCTTACCTCGCTACTCATTTCGTGTCCTGTGGGCTCTCATACTGCAGAGAGGATGCTGGGAAATGGAGCTGGAATAGGTCACCTCAGTGTCATCACCAGCCATTAACCAGCACCACAAACCTTCTGCTGTGCATCTCTGGCCCTGTGCCCCAGATGGCATGAGACCTCTTCCTTTGCAGGAGACCATCATCGTCAGGAAATCTCTGGGACAAGCATGGACTTAACCTCACAATTGCACTAGGGCCCTCTAGTGGTACAGTATCAGGGTTGGTATAGGAAAATAGAGAAGGCACCCAAACTGAACATGGGATACACCAAGATGCTGAGCAGGAAGAAACCTTACAGGGTGCAATTTCAGACTGTTTACCTAAAGAGATATCGGAGCAGGGATTTAAAGTGCAGGAAACCAGGGCTCAGTGCTGGAATAAAGCAGGGTCAAGGAAGAGATGTGGGACATATCTTCACTGGGAAGTGCCTTTGTTGTCAGGCAGTGATCTGGAAGACAGAAGGTTCACAGTGCAACCACAGTCTGTGCAGCTGGCCTCTGAGCTTATCCTGAACCCTTTGCTGGCCTGACTTAGGCATTCCCTCAACCATCCATGGCCCCAGGGTCTCAGAACCAAGAACTGTGACTGTGGGGAAAGTGGATCTTGGGGGGACACTGTCAGCTTCTTCTTTTGTCTCTCAGGAAAATTGCTGCTTATGATGAAGAAATCCAGCATCTCTATGAGGAGATGGAACAGCAGATCAAAAGTGAAAGGGAACAGTTCCTTCTAAAAGTGAGTGTTCCATTCCCTGGGCCTGGTGCTGGGAACAGCTAGCTGGTAGACCTGCCTACTCTGAACACCTTTCCCCATTAAAGTCCTAGCTCCTTCTTGTGACCTTCTTTTTCTGCTTTAACATTCAAGACACTTACACCTTCAAGGAAAGTATGTAGAATAGGTATTTACTTTTATTCTATGTTGTCTGTTTCCTCCTCATAACATGTAAGTTTATTTGCTTACTAATCCTGCCTCAGTTTCTTGAGCATGCCTGGACTGTAGGAGATGCCCAATGGATGTTTGCTTAGTCAGTGGAGGTGTGAGTGAATGGACTGACAGGAAGGAACAGAGAAAAGAGGGGAGAAAAGGAGGGAGGGAACCAGGAAGGAGAAAGGATGGATTGGATGGATGGATGGATGGATGGACAGATGGAATGGATGGGTGGGTGGATGGGTGGGCGGATGGATGGATGGATTGGATGGGTGGATGGATAGATGGATGGATGGATGGATTGAAGGGATGGATGGACAGATGGATTGGATGGGTGGGTGGATGGATAGATTGGATTGGATGAAGAAAGATAAATGAATGGATTGTTGGATAGATCAGAGAGAAGGAGAAGAAAGGGAGAAAGAGAAGAAAATAGGAAGGAAAGAACAAGGAAGGAAGGAAGCAAGCAAGCAAGGAAGGAAGGAAATGTGGGATAGATTAATTACAGAGCATAAAGAAACCTGGACATTGGGTGTCACTCGGCTGACACCTGTACCTGTATAGCAGGCCAATTAAAACCTACCAGTCCATCTTATTCCTTAAATAGCAGCCCCAGAGGAGACAGTGATAAGAGGTGTAGTTGCTCACTCTTTCCTCTTAAAAACTGGAGAATACAGTCACCTAGAAAACCCCATGTCCACTATCATCAGTACCACGAGAAGAAATGTGAAGCTTGTACCCCCTGGTCCTGGTCTACCCCTATTCTTTGTGTACCCAAGTCCCTAGTGTACACCTCTTGCTGGTATATCCCTGTTGCCAGTGTACCTCTGCTCTGTTGCAGCCATGGTCCTGGTGTACCCCTGCTTCTAGAGCACCCTAGTTCCTAGTACAGCCCTGTTCCCAACACACCACCATTCTCAGCATGTTTCTATCCCCAGAGCACACTTTCCTAGTATACCCCTGGTGTGTTCCTGGTATGCCCCTGTTCCCAATATATCCCTGTTCTGATGCATCCCCATTCCTAGTGAACCCCAGTTACCAGACCTCTGAGCCTTTGCCTTTCCAGCCCTTGTGGTCATTTTAGGAGGTGAGGCCTGGGGAGGAGCCTCTCCTCTACCAAGCCCAAGCTAAGCAAGATCTGTGTTGGTGTGTTCTACTTTTTAAAAAAAGATTCAGGAAGCGGTTCATCCTTTTATCGTCTACCCTACTCTGTGAGCTTTTAGCAGAAGGCTGCTGGCCTTGGCTGCTGCCTCTCAGTGCTAAGCCCAGGCTATTGTCTCAGGCTCTTTCCTTGATCCAGATTTCAATTTTCGGCTGCTTTGGATTATCCACATCGCTGCTTCACTTAACATCACAGATGCCATTCACGCTGGAGGGAAATCAGAAGGCCTTCCAGAAATATCTGGCCAGAGCCCTCCCTGGAGGCTTGCCTCTATTCCAGACCACCCTCATTGTTCTTCAGTGCTTTAAACCGTTCTGGCTCTTCCAGTGTTCAGGGAAACTGGATGTGTATGTGACAGAATCCACATACATCCATCAGCAGATCTAAAATAGCTTCTAACAAGAGCAGTTCCACAGTCTGCATTAGAAAAATCACCTCTCTCATCCCTGTGACAGACTGCACAGAGGAGACAAGCTCAGGGGACATGTTGTGCCCTCTGTCCTGGTCATTCCTATAGCTAAGGTGTGCTTCCGACAACAAAAGATGGGCACGGGCATGGGGGTTGGGAGTGAGCTGAGGTTGTGGGAAAAGGAATTAAGGACCAGTTAGCATCATTTCAGATGACCTGACTCTGGGACTGTGTCCTCTCACGCCCTCTCCTTTCTCAGCTCTACATGTCCAGCTCAGAGAGCTCAGTGCTTACACTTGAGCTTCTGCTATGAAGATGGAGAATTCATTGATCCCAGAGTTACGATAAGGATGATACCATCTTTGACATCATAGAAAAGGCCAGATCCCCTGATCACCATTTGGATGCTGGCTGTACCTATATCAATACGTTTGTCCATGAGCAAAATAGGTGCTCGTTTGCAACCGCCCCCCCCCCGTCTCCAGAAGGGGGATGCCCTTCAGTGCTGTCCTGACAGGGTTAACAGCATACTCCACGAGACCTGTGGGGATGAGTACAACAGCATGAGATGCAGAAACCACTTGCTCTTCCAGCATTTTCATGAGGTGCTTGCCCCATGCAGTGACTGAGTGAACTAAGGAGATCTCTTGCAGCTGACTCTCTTCAAACAAAGATGAGGGCAGAGACTGTCTGAATAGACCCCACGTGGGCCATCAGATGTCTATGGGCACATGTCTTCCTGCATTGCCTCTTCTCTATCATCTGGACATGAGCAGAGGAGTCAGTAGCATCATCAGAAGAAGCATGCACCTTTGAGTAAAGGTGGCCAAAGGCTGGTGAGCCAGGAACAACTGTTCTGCCAAACATGGTAGCCAAGACCCCTGTAGTTGCCGGGTGCAGCATCTCACAGCTGGCCCCCTCTCACACACATCTCTCTACCATTGGCTATTCCAGGCCCGTCAGTAGCTCCTGATGTGTTATTTCTCCAGTATCTTCAATAGCTCATCCCTACCTTGCCGTAGTGGCGTGCTGCAGGAGGCAAAAGGCTGTTGACTTCCATTCTTTAGAAATCCAGAAAAAAATGAAGCAACTTAGATGAACAGTGCAGGGACTCAAACCTAAGTTTCCTGATGCAAGTCTTCCACTTTGATTGGCTCTGCTGGGAATCATGGGTCTCTGAAACGCTGCACTATCTGTGACACTAGAGCCAGACACCATCACATCTGTACTTTCTGGCCTTAGCTGCTCAATGTAGAAAAACCCCAGGTTAGGGTGGGAGGGAAGAGCATGTTGAGTACAGGGCAGAGATATCATGAGGATCAGGACCCAGGAGCCCTGAGTCATGGTGGACAAAGCAGTGAGCACTCAGATCCCCTAGGAGACAGAAGTAGTGCACTGTGCCCAGAGCTGGTATGATTTTAGGGACCAGTAACAGTATTTGTTCATTGTGAACTAGAGTCTCCAAGTTGGAGGCTGTCTTAGTTACAGACAGAAGGCTGGTCAGTGAGTCAGACTCAGGCTCCTCTTCTTCCTGTACCACTCCACCAGTGGCCGTCCCTTTTGGGTGGGAAAGCACAGGAGGACACTGCTACAGGAAATGGTCACATTCATAGTAGGTTTTCTAGCACATCCCAGAGTGCTAATTTGGTCTTGTGGATCCTCACTGGTGGAGTAAGTGGGTCACTGAAGCTGGAGGTCTCAAGGGAAGGGCCTCGAAGTGACAAGGGATTGGTGGTCCAGCTGGTGAGGGAGTTCAGGTGCATGCTCACAAGGCTGGACACTGGGGGTGCTGGTTGTAGGACCCATCGTCTTCTTCTCTGGCTTGGCAGGACACAGAGAGGTTCCAGGCTCGCAGCCGGGAGCTGGAAAGGAAGCTGAGTGCCAAGGAGCAGGAGCTGGAGCGGCTCAATCAGAAGCAAAGAAGGGTAGGTCCCTGCGGAGACTCAGTGGGCCCTGAGCGCGTCCAGTTCATCTTGCTTCTGCCTCACGCCCTCCACCATTCATTCGTGGTATTTTAACTTGCCCTGAGAAGACCTGTGTGCCTGAATGTGTCTTCATTTCAAGTCCCCACAAGGTGGACGTATGTCATCGACACATACATGTCATCACATCACTGGAGAGACTGGGGCAGGAGGATTGTGAGTTCCAGGACAGCCTTGTGAACATAGTTCAAAGTGCAGCCTGGGCTTTGTAATAATGAGACCCTGTCTCGAAATGCTAAAAAATGTCTTTAAATATTTTAAGATTTCAATTTATAACAAAAGTCACAGATGGCCCCAGATAGAGCCACAGTTGGATGTCTAGCTTAGGGAGGTCCCTGTATTCTCTGTGAATCTCCCAACCCCTAGGGATCTGAGGATAGCTTCACATAATTACACCTAAAGGTAATAATGGCCGCTAAACCTTGCAGTTGGTTTAGGCATCCTGCAGAAGGAAGGGGAGAGTACAGAGGTACTTGTGTAGTCATTGATGTTTCAGGGGACTGCAGACGTATTTGTCATCTTCAGCATAGCTGTAGACACCCTACAGCTAGAAAAGGCTCTTCAAAGAACTCCCACATGCCTGAACAGGGTATGTGACTGTCTCTGGGACACGCCAGGTTAGATGCAAACACTGGTCACTCACCTCTCAAACGCCGGAGCAGAGAAACAGACTGTGTGGTATACTCTGCAGGACAGCAGTTGTGTCTGGAGCTACGGACACCTGGCTTGTGGTACCAAGCTGCCAGGCCAAGTGCCTTGCTCAGCAGTCTCCTCAGCAAAACAAGAGTTCATGGAGGAGAGAGATCATGGTAGCACTGGCCTCCAGTCTCAGGTTGACTGTTCCTGGAAGGAATCCAGCCCCTGACAGACCCAGACACTTGGCATATCTTGGAACAGAGAAGCTTATTTGTAATATCATGGGAACATAAGCCCCCCTGGTTAAGGCTGGGGCTGCTGCCCCTGCTGATCACTAAGCTTTGGATCTAAATGCCTAGAGGTTGAGAACCCTATCCTCAGTCTGCAGCGGCCTGGCCTCTCTCCTCCTGAGCTTCCTCTCCGACATGCATTAAACTCATAGCAATTAAATTTATCCCTCAAATGAATGATTGCCACTCCATTTAATTACTGCACGCTTGCCTGATAACACAGGAGCCTCGTGAGAGACTCTCGGCATTCCTTGTTGCTGCCTTTCTCTCCTCACTGGCCACATTCATGAAACTAAACTTATTATGATCTATTTGCCTTGGTGTGCTGCTTTGTCTGCTGAGGGTTGGAAGCTCCACACAAAGCCTACTCACCAGCCAAGAGGAGCTGAAGTTCTCAAAACCCACATTTTTAAAAGTAGCTTTAGGGATGCGAGAAAAGGCCTAGGGTCTGTTTGAGCTGGTTTGGTAATAACCAAGGTCAAGAATCTCCGAGGTCAGAGGCAGTCAACCAAAGCTGTCCCTAAAATGCATGGAGCTGGGCTCCCGTGGCTGAGAGAAAGACGGGCATGAATCCATTCCCCGTCTGTGCTCACCACAGGGAAGGTGGCGTTATGATGAACAGCCACTTTCTTGCTCTCTGACCCCATCAGGAATCAAGGCAATGACACTGGTTTGGAGGACAAAAAGGACTTAGATGAGGTCTCCAGCCCATGGTGACTTTGGGAGGGAAGACACAGTTAACCAGTGGAATTTTCACTACTAACAGTCCTATAGAACAAGGCTACCCCAAGCCTGTCTCTCAGTCCCAGGTGGAGACCAGGAAAGACAGACTGTGCTGTGAAAGTCACTCCTGCCTGCAGAAATGTCTTCATGGGAGTGACGGAACAAACAGGGCTGACTTGGGCTTGAGGACAGTATGGGGCTGAACCAGCAATGGCCCTGGCCCTGTTCATCTTTCCTCTCTGTCCCCTCTTTGTAGCTGGAAGGCCAGTGTGCAGCTCTACACAACGACAAGCATGAAACCAAGGCTGAGAACAGCAAGCTGAGACTCACTAACCAGGAGCTGGCCCGAGAGTTGGAGCGCACCTCCCACCAACTCCAGGAGGCCCAGCAGCAGCTGGAGAGCCTCCAGAGAGAGGCCTGTGAGCTGCAGCAGGAGAAGGAGATGTGAGTCCAGCACCCCAGTCGCGGCAGGGTGCTATGCTTTGTGCTGGGGACCAGGATTTCCCCTCCCAGAGACCTGTGTGTGAAGTGGGGAGTTGGTGTCCTTACTCCCTGAGATTTCTCTCTCTCCCTCCGTGTCTTCTTTCCTTCCTTTCTTCAGCAGTCTCACAGTGTAGCCCATCTTGGCCTTTACCTCTGGGGTGATAGGCATGATCACGCACACACACACACACACACACACACACACACACACGCACGCACGCACACATAAACACACACATGCACACATTCCTGCTGCTCCTGGAGACTTAACCCTCTTTGAATTTCTGTGACAATTTCTGTGACTACTAAGCAAAGCAGCACTATGCTAGGCATAGCAGGAGGTTCACACGCAATAACCCTTCACCCAGTTGCTTTCTGCTGCTGTACTGAAACACTGACCAAAAACACCCTGGGAGTGGAAAAGATTTATTTGGATTATAGGTTTCACTCTGTCATCGGGAGGGGGGGGGAAGCCAAAGCAAGAAGTCAAGGCAGAAAAGCTGAAGGCAGGAACTAAACCAGAGACCACAGAAGACTGCTGTTTCCTGTCTTCCACAGCTCATGCTCAACTGTGTTTCTTAAAGAGCTGAGGCTCATCTGCCAAGAGGTGATCCTGCCCACAGTGGGCTGGACCCTCGTACTTCTATTAGGAATCAGGAAAATGGCTCACATACCCACAGGCCAGTCTTCTGGAGACAATTCTTCAACTAAAGTTCCCTCTTCCTGAGTAACCAGGATTAGCTATCACAGCCCTGGTCCCCGGAAATTTATTATGCTGTTAGACAGATCTGCTGTTCTACCCACACATAAGGAGGCAGACTGGACAAAGACAGAAAGAGCAAAGGGCCCTTGGTACCTGTTGAAGGCTAGAGGTCTCAGGTAAATGAGAGTGAAGAAGCTTCTGAGATAAGCTCCTGAGGTGACTGGTGTGTGACAGGACTCGATTCCTAGCCATTTTTTCCTAGTCGTGTTCCTCAGAGAGGACTGTCTGGGCCTACAGGGGAATCCCACATTTCTCAAACTTTGGCTTCCTGCTCACTGCTTTTAGTGGCTAGCTATTGTGTAGGGCCTAAGAGCAAAGCAAGTGCCTTCTCCTGCAGCTGGAGCAGGTAATGACAGAGCAGCCCTTCACCTTTGGGGGCAAAGGGCTCTGAGATAAGGCAAAGGGACTCATTTATTTGGCCATCCATCTGTCCATGTACTTGCGGATGTCCTCACCTGACAAATAGCCATTACAAAGTATTCAATGCTACGTACCTTAGGCCTTCAACACGTGTCACTTGATCATCTCATTTGACCACACTGTGTCATTGTGTGGCTGCTGTATTGTGTCAATCTGATTGGTGGGCAAGACAAGTAAAGTCCCAGAACTTAAATACTGTACATACCCTAACATCCAGAGAGGAAGGAGCCTGCCAATCACCACCCATTTGTGGGCGGGACCAGAACCCACTTCCTTCACTCTTCTTCACCCATGGGCACATCCATTCTGCCAGTGGTCATTGTGTGTTCGAAAGACACCAGGTCTACCATTGATCTGACTTCAGGGCATGGGATGGGAGGGCTGACCAGCAGTAAAGGCTTTGCACATCCTAAGTGCCTTTGTTCAGAATGAAAGCCCTCACTTTATCTGAATGCTGGCAAGATTCTAGTATGCAGGATACATTCAAAATGGCCTCCCCCCTGGTTCCGCTCCCCTGCGGAGTCAGAGCCTTCTGAGATCGAGTGCTTGGATGAGATGAGTACTATGTGTTTGGCCTGGGAGTGTCACCCTAATAAGAGATCTCCCATTGTAAGAGAAATGAATGATTCTCAAGACTTAGAACGAAGCCCAGCGCACATGCCAAGGCTTCGGATGGCTAGTCAGCGGGCCCATACATTTCATCCTAAACAGGCTGAGTCCATCCCTTTTCTCTGAGAGTAGAGCATCAAGGCATAGGCACCTAGCTTTATGGCAGAATTGGGGATTCAGGCACTTCGAATCCAACCAAGCTCTCAACACTGCAAACGTTTTCAGCCAAAACCGTGGAGACGCGAACAGGAGCAAGCACTTGCACCGAGCGTCGCCGCTCAGCACGGGGGGATTGGAAACTTCACAGTCTTATCTTAATTAACGAAGCCAGAGATGCAATCTCTGAGACAATGGAGGCAAGGGAGTGAGGAAGAAGTGAGAGATGGGATGCACATGTTTAACATGTTGAGGAGCTTGGAGTATCTTATGTGTGATGGGTCCAAGAGAACTCTCTCACCCAGGGAAGCCAGGGAGAAGGGACATCAAGGGTCTTGATTTAATTTCTGGAGAATGGAGTCTCGGACCCGTACCACTGGCAGCACCATAAAGCTTCTGCCTTCCCCCCCAACCCCCCGCAGGAAAGTCAGGAGCTCAGAGACGCCATATAGCCAGCTAAGATTAGGCCAGGCCAGGGCCCAAACCTGTCTACCAGTGTTCCTGGGTACCTTGTGGTATAATATTGTGGTATAATAATATTGCTTCAGAGCTGCTGGGACAGGAGAGGGAGGAGACAGGAAGTAAACAGACCCAATCATTTATCAGCAAAAACTCCAAATGGACGAAATTAATTTTCTCATTCTCTGAAGACATTGAAGGTAGAAAAGCTAGATTTGGGGATGAGATTAAAAAAAAAAAGTCCCTTTTAGGCAGATAACACAGAACTGAAGGCCAGCCGAAAGCCTGCGCCTCAGAGTTGATTTTTAATTAACTTTTATTTTGAAGATAGAGTTTAAGACAAGATACAAAAGAACGACTCTTTGTGAGAGGTCTGTCTCCTCCTGTGACCCCTATCTCCTGTGGATCATTCTGGAGTCTGTTATGTGCAAATACATCCTCATTTTCAAACGCACATACACATACAACATGCATGCACACTCATATACATATGCACACATCTAAGTACACATATATGCATACACACATAAATATGCACTGACATACACAAACATACGAATACAGATGTGCATACACACACACACACACACACACACACACACACACACACACACACACATTTTCCTTTAGAGGATGGCAGCCAGCCAAGCATACAGGTTTATTTTGCCTGTTTCCCTTAACAACATATTTTGTAGAATGTTCATCTCTTCCTTAGAACAAAGCCAACATCAGCTCCCTAGGGGAAACTACAAATTCCTACCAAGAACTATAACAAAAATGAGTTGGCTTCTTCCCTCCTAGTCTGATATCATCCAGGGAGAGGTGATCTCTAGTTCAGAGGGACTTGAAAGGTTAGCGCATCACATATCCCAAAGCCACTGGTTAAAGATACCCTTGGTTAACACACAAAAACTATAGTTGGATATATCTACACACATGCATAGTGTTGCAAGTATGTCTGTATGTCTGTATAGATCACTATAGATATATGTTCACTTGACAGAGTTAAGCATGTATTTGCATAAGTAGGGCAAGTGTGTGCATGTGCATTTGTGTGTGTGTGTGTGTATCCTGGTGTTATAGACAGAGGCAGAAAGGATCCAAATAACATGAGACTTACGAACTGCTTTCTCAGTCAAACAAGGAAGACACAGACCTCAGCTCAGCAGTGAATTGCCTTTTCTCAGCAGGGGCCAGCTTTTCTGTTGTCCCTAGGGAGGGATAGGAGCTGGGCAGGAGAGCCACCCAGTTGAAAATGGGACTCTTCATCAGCCAGGACCCATCAGGAGCAGGCAGGGCTGTGTATGTTGTGGTAATCAGAGCAGAGTCTTAGACAGGGGCTCAGGGACCCAGTTTGTATAATGGGAAATAACACTGTTTTCCCTTAAGTTGAAATTAAATATAATTGGTAATAAAATGTGAGGAATTTACTTCTCCGCAGGAACCAGCAGAGTTGTGTTGCTTAATTAGGATTGTCTGAGGTGAACTTAGAATTTGATTCAGTCTGTTCTGGTCGTCGAGTGACTTTGTAATTGTTCTGTAAAGAACAAGAAGAAAGGAAGGGCACAAATGATGCTTAAGGAGTGAAGCTACCAGGCCCTTGGTGGGAGGGTCCCCAGGCTGATGCTGTTGTCAGCTGCTCAGGAATGTCATTAGAGGTAGCAGAGGGGTGACTCTCCTCCCAGCCCAGTGAGCAAGGTGACAAGTTTATCAGGCTGTTGGGTGCTCTCCATCACGGAGCCGCACTACTGTGGAAGTAGGGATTCTGGGGCCTTGGCAGTGAGACTGGAGAGGCACTTAGATTCCACGACAAGATTCAGAACACACAGGCAAAGATGAGGGACAGTTATGAACTCAAGTTTCCAGTGATGCCTGCTTCAGTTTGATTCTTTCCCTCTTCCCTCCCTCCCTCCCTCCCTCCTTCCCTTCATCCATCCATCCATCCATCCATCCATCCATCTCTCCCTTCCTTCACTTTCTTCTTCCTGCCTCTCTTCTTTCCTCTCTGAATGTTGCTGTCCTCTTGTATAACAGTAGTCTAGCCCTCCTCTCCCTTCCCCATGGCCACCACTCACCCGGCTGTGTCTGTCTCCTCAGGGAAGTATACCGAGTGACTGAGAGTCTGCAGCGGGAGAAGTCTGGCCTCCTGAAGCAGCTGGATTTCTTAAGGTGGGTCCACTGGGAATCCTGCCAGGAGGGCCCACGTTTCCGCTGGTCACCAGTGTACGGTTTGGACTGCTGAGTACTACCCACTGGGAAAACATAGTCACATTTACTCACGTGCCCGCCTTCCTCTACAGTTCATTCCTCTTTGCGGCAGCCTCTGCCTCACCCTTGGGGTCTTTATGGGACAGTTCATGATCCTGGGTTGGGAGAGGATAGATCTGAACAGCCAACAACCCTGTGGCAAGTCTACAGTCTCACCTTCAACAAAAGCATTGAGCCTGTCAGTCAGGGGTGAATTCTGGTATCAACCAAGAACATGTTCTTACTAGACAAATGAAGTGATTAGCGTAACCTCAAGCTGAAGTCCATGTCCAGCCGATTCTTACCTCAGCCATGGAATAAGCAAATGAATCAATCACACATTGGGCTACTGTCTAAATCCCATTGAAATAAATTCAAAGCTCACTGGCTTGGAATGTCCTGGAATGGAAGCAAAGCAAATGCAGAGGAAGGAAGGCTTTCCAAAGGCTGTACCTGCCACCTGCCGATGGCCTCATAGGGGACAGTGGTGACATCCTGCCAGCTGCTGATGGCCTCATGGAGGGTGTGTGTGTGGAAAACAGTGATGACAGAAGGTTTTAGATCCTCATTTTTAAAGTCCCAAGTGACTTTGAACCATGCCTCCCCTGGTCGGGAGATGGAGGAGTTCCTAAGTGGCCACGTTCTATCTGAGTGGGGACAAGGTCTTTGTTCTCAGGAGGCTTTAAGGGGAGAACAAGATGTATAAGGGCACTTTTTTTTGTTTTGGTTTTGTTTGTTAACTTGTTTTAATTCATACTGTTGTACTTAGAAAAAAAATGGATGAATAGACCCAAAGAGAATGAATAGGAAAGGGTGGACATGACCCCCTTGTACAACGTTCATGTCCTTTAGAGCTCTGACAGACCAGCATCTGTGAGTTCAGCCTCACACGCCTGGGACCTTTCTGTGCTGTCTGTCCTGGTTACTACAATCAGCAGAGATGAGGGAGCGGGCAGGGCAGTGAAATCACCAAGAATCCAGGAGAAAGAGAGATCGTGGGAAGGGGGGTGAAGTGGGGAGGGCATGGAATGTAGGGTGGCGGTAAGACGGGGACCATGGCTGGAGTGCTAGACTCGAGGATTTCCCTAACCTCTGCTCACATCCTGCACAGAAAGTATAAACAAAACAGAAAACAACACAGTATACTCAGAGGCCTTCTGAATCCTCATCCAGGTTGCCGGTTGCTGCTTGCTTTAGGGTCTTTCAGGTGTAAGAACCCTACTCCTCTGCCATTGTCAGGGTTTTCCTTCAGTATCTCTTCCACAGACATGCCCCAAGGGCCTGGCTGTGTCACTGAAAACAGTAAGACACAGTCTTACAGTGATCATCTGCTGGGTGGCCTACAGTCAAACCCAGCAGATCGCTACATAATGAGAATTCGTTTCTGACCCCCGCTGAGCCTGCCCTCCCTCTTCAGCAATATGAACTGGTTCTGGGCTATCAGCACAAACTGATACAAAATCACACAGACCTGAGATGGAGCTGAGGTGACGGAAGGGGCCAACCCTCTTGCATCAAGAGGAACCTTCCAGCCGTTTGTGTCTCACAAACACCCTGCATCCTGAGTCTGGTCACTTCCCCACTCTGAACTTTCATTAAACCTCCCTGAACCCCCTACTTTCCACCTTGCCACTTGGGATCCTGTTTCAGAAAGAACCAGAACAAGTCTGCACGAGCTTGCTCCATGTTGCCAGCACCCATGTCTCTAACTCTGTGGATGTGGTGTGAGATCCCAGCGCTCCTAGCAAAGGCTACCCCTGCACACATCAGCCCTGTTCCCACCTGGAGTTCTCAAACTGACCCCTCTTCTTTGGATCTATTAGCTTTCCATTCTCCATGTTCTTGGCTGGCTCTCTCCCCAGCCAAGAACAGTTCCACCCAAACTGTCCTTGCCCATGTCACCAGTGACTTGTGCTTCTTCAAAAATATCAGTCCATTCTCAGGGCTGCACCTTTGTCGCCAACAGTCTATTCTTAGCATGTCTCCCAAGGGGAGCCTCTCAGTGCTAGAATCAGACCATGACACCGTTGGCCACACATCCCACCCTACCAACAACCCATGGTTTCATGTCTCATTTGGGGTGAAAATCAAAGCTCTTCCTGTGGTCCAGGAGGCTGTGGATCATCGTCTTTGACCTACCCACTACTCTCAATGCAAGAGGTGCTCTTTGCGTGCCTTGTGGCCCTCCCTTCTGTTTCTCCAACACACATTTATCACAGCCAAACCTTTGTCCTGCCCAGCTCCTCTTCCCTCCCTCAGGTTTGTGAGACAGTGCCTCACCAGCCAGAGCTTCCCCAGTCATTCAGGTTGAAATCCCCGACACTCTCTGGTTCTCCTTTTCCCGTTCGCCAGCTTTCCTTTCTCAGTAGTGCTCACCCCAACCTTACACAAGCTTCCCGAGTCCAGAACTTTGTGGTTGCTCCTGCATCCTGGATGCTGAACAAAGTTTGGCAAGCAACTCCCATCCCAGGAGATCTATGAACAAGCACCCTCATTGATGAACAGATGAACTAGGCAGAGAAGGAGCCCACTAGCAAGTCACAGGGATACATGTCATCCTGTACCAAGCGATGGAGGCTGAGTGTTCCTCAAGGGACAGTGTGTGTCACAAGACTACTCAGTCTTATCCCCCTGCCTCTGAGCCGATTTACACATGAACTCTCCTCTGTCCATAGCCATATCCCTGGCCCTTCCATATCATACTTTCTTTTGCATCTGGCTGGCTAATGGGCTAGCCCTTGATCTGTCAACAGCAGAGTTCATGTTTGAATAACTTTCCCTTGCTATTTACAGGGAAAGGAACAAATACCTCCGGGATGAACGGGACATAACTTTCCAGGTAACGGACCAGTACTCTCTTGGGACTTGGGGAAGAAGGAGACAAGGCCCAGGGGTCATCTGATCCATGCCAGGACTGATCAAGACTGTCCTGATACTTTTGATGTGTCAGGTCCTTTCTGTGTGGACAGGGTGAAGGCGTAACATATTATGTGAGCAATAAAAAGGTAGCCACACACATTTTTTTTCATGAAGGGAGATGCCTTCCTCTTGGCACAACCAGACTCAAGTGTTTCAGAGAGCCGCACATTTCTTAGATGTAGGAGTGATAGTCCCACTGGGAAATGGTGCAGCTGAAATGTCATTATCACCTGAAGTCAAACGCTCAGTTTGCTCTTTCATTTAAAATTTTATCTCTTGATGACATTCTCAAACTGTATGCGTCAGCGAGCGAATTTACAATGCACACATGGCTCTTTACACAGTTGGTTTTACGTACAGCTTTATCTCTGCTCTATGCATAGCCCCTCTCCCGTACCTGAGCACAGTGCTCCAGAGTTCCCCAAGCGGTATGACAGTCGCCGGTCTTCACGGCGGGGCACATGGAAGAATCTCTAGAACTCTGCATGGCCTTCTTCATTTCCCCATTTAAAAGGGGGACACTGGATTCTCTGAAGGGGCCGGGTGACTCAGAAGGACTTCCTAATTGTAAGATTATCATACTGTGAACTTGCATGTCCCCAGAGAAGGCGTCGGTCACCTTCACCATGATCCCAACTTTCCCATGAGGAAGGGGAGTTCCTGTCCTCTTTCTCCCAGGTTGTAAGGATTTTTAAGAAAAGGAAAAAAGATATATGTGTGTGTGTATGTGTATACCAAAACAAACAAACAGACAAACAAACAAACTAGGAGAGAAGATGCTGTGTGCTATAGCTTTGCCTGGGCAGTAATGTAAATACGGTCAGCTTCAGAGAGTTAGTGGCCTGCCCTGAATTAGGCCCCACCCAACTTATGCCGACATCTCAAGGGATCCTTGTTCCACCATGTGCCTTTGGCATCACTGACCCTCGGTAGTCATCTCAGCGGCCCACCTGTGTACTATCAGAGCAAGACTTAAACCTACAGGTTTGTCTGATAATGATAATGATTCTAGTTGTTTTAGAAGAAATACTGATTTTCTTTGTAAATTTTGACCAAATGCCATCGTAATCCCTTCATGTCATTTGCCTTTGACCTGCCAAACTCATTTTGCTTTGGAAGAAGCGTGGTGGAGGGAAGAACACCAGTAGGGAATCAAAGAAAGGGGGAATAGGGCCCTATTGATGCAGAATAATAATTAAAATTCGCCTGGAATTATTAAAGCCACACCTTCAGGGCTGCTGTGAGGTCAACAGTCACCCCCACTTCATTATGGGTCCTCCTGAAGCATGGAGTGGCTGATTCAAGCAGCACTGTTTGTGTGATCTGACTCCCAGTGTCTCTTGGAAGAGCTCTCTCCTGGAGTCTTGGCAAATGGGGTTCTGAGCCCTGCTCCCTTCTGGTTCTGAGTTAGAGATATTTGAGCAGTTCATCCACACCTAGCCTTGCTTCCACAGGATTGTAGAGCTTTGGGGTCTGTGAGGGAATGGTGGAATAACTGCACCTCTAGTGGATCCCTAGCCCAACACCTCATGAGCTTTGGCGGGAAAGGGAGATTGGAGCCCCAAGGAAGAGTGTGACTTAAAATCCCAGGCTCTTATAGACCCTGTGAATATTTTCCCAGGTAGCATGCATCTTTGACTTCTCTTCTCATCTCTTGCAAATGACCAGTTCCTGTGAAAAATAGCACAAGAAACCCTAGGGTCTCCACTCTGTATTTTCTCCTCTGAGGGGATTTCTGGAAACAAAATGAAGGAATTTTAATTTGAGTGGGGGGAATGGAGATTTTGTGACCGAACAGGAAAACATGGCCTGCTTCTCTCATAGAGTCCCAACAAGAGCCTTCCCTCACTTCTGCTCAGGCAGAAGTTGAGACGGATCCACAGGAGTGGATCTCAGGGCATTTTGTGTTTCTGCAGAAAGATAAGGCGGCCAAGGCAAACACAGCTGCTTCCAAGGCAAGCAGGAAGCAAAGATCTGGCTCTGTGATCGGCAAATATATGGATGGAAGGGGAATTTTCAGGAGGTAAGTCGTCACCCTCCACCTGTCCTTCCTCCTTTCCTTCACCTCTCCACTTTGGGAGCTGCCTCTGTGCCCACAGTTACTGCTCCTTTGAGGTGTGGCCCTACTAGGGAGGCCTGAGGTCAGTCTCACTCACTTGCCTTAATTCTTGGAAGGCATGGCCCTCTGTTGTGACATCCAAACGGGTGGGAGACTATGCAGAGCAAACCTGTAGGGCAGACACTGTCAAGGCTAGCCTGCTCTACTGTGGGCCTGCAGAGAGGGTCTTAAGGGTACTTCAGACTGACTCAGAAGGAGGGAGAGGAAGATGATGATGAGGAGGAGCAGATGATCTGGGAGGGAGGAGTGATGGAGGACAGTGCTCCTTTCCTTGAATCCACTTGGTTTTTCTGGAATATAATTATACTGACTGAGCTGAATTAAAATGTCATATAGCATCACCATTAACTGAAACCCCTTTAGAGACAAAATTAGGGCTTGTGATTGACAGATCATCCCAATGATTCATATTTAATTAGCTCGAAGACAACATGTTTTGTTGCTGCTGGAGGGCTCGGGAATTGAGTTTGAGTGTGGAAAGTGTTGGCTTGCTGCTCATTCAGACAAGTCACATGCACCCCTTTGTCCACATGGATGGGCACAGAGGTCAAAGCAGCTAAACCCTCAGGCATCGAGATTGAGGGAGGAGATGTGTAAACGCACTCAGTGAGATGTATAAACATGGAATGAAAAATATTTGCAAAGTAAAAATGACTCCGGGATGTAAACAGGCTGATCAGGGAAGCCCCTGGGTCAGATCATCATGAATTAAAGCTCAATAGCTCAGTAATGAGGAAGCCAAATTTCTACACTAGTATTTGTTAGCCTGTTGGTTTCTCAGAACTGAATGTATTTCTAGGTTGATTGATTCGACAGTCATTTATGGATCACCTACTCTGTACCTGACATTCTTTCAGGTTTTGTGACATTCCCTCTATGCCTGTTTACCAGCAAATGCTCGTTTAATAGATAAGTATTGAGTGGCCACTGTTTGTGAGGTACAGCGCCGGTCGCTGGAGCAGACGTTTTTGCAAAATAGACCCTTCTCTCCTTCATGAGCTCACAGCCATACAGCGGAAATAGAAAATAATCCACTAAGCATCAAAGTGTGCGCTCTGAATTCCAATATCGATTTTGGCAAAAGCAGCTCCTCTCTCTGCTGCTGGCAGGAAGTGTTTGGTGGCAAAACAAAAAATGAGCTTAGACATGCTAAGCTGAAGCCATTACGGAGTGTCAACAGTGCTTGAGATGTTCCCAAATAAAACGCTTTTTTCCAAGAAGCATTTCATTTTAGGGCACACTTAAATGGTTGTTTTTTTTTCTGGTTGGAAAAACCTTTGAGAAAGCATGTAGTGTGTGTGTGTGTGTGTGTGTGTGTGTGTGTGTACATGTTCGTGTTACATATAAAAGCATAAAATGGACAGAGATACTGTGTTCTGAAACAGATAGTCAGGTAATGGCCTTGGTAGCATACATAAGAAGAGTGACGGAAAGAAGCCAGTTAGTTGGCTTTTATTTAACCTGTTTCCTAAGTAAAGGGAAAGGTGGTTGAATTGCTATAAATCTTCTCTCTGTTCAAACTAATTCATCACTGTTGGAAATAAACACTGTCTTAATTTATCCTTCAGAATTACAGTTCGCTTAGATAGTGACAGATTCACTCTGGTGAACCCTATTATTACACACATTTTCCTATCACTGGTCTTAGGAATAACAGATACTAGAAGTCAGGGGCAAGGCTAATGGTGCTTCTCTTATGTGCTCAGTTCTGTGCCCCATGATTCGATCCTTTTTCCTTTGACCTTGCCATCTTGCTGGCTCATCTGCATTTCTTTCAATGTGTATTCAAGTATTATGGCCATGAGTATGTGTATATGTGTGTATGTGTATGTGTGTGTGTATGTGCATGTGTGTGTGTGTGTGTATTCATAAGGTCATGCCTGTCTTGTTTGAAATGCTCTCAGCTTGAACTGTTCACTAAGATAGAGAAGGAACCCTGGTGTTCTGGAGATCTGTGCAGATGTTGGTCTCCAAACCCTTGGAAAATTCAGCCTGTGCTTCTCCCTGTATCCCAACTGCCCAGTTCCTTCCACCTCCTACTAGCCTCTTTGGTCATAGCATCCAAATGCTTCCAGAAGAAAGTATGTACTGAAGTCTTTGAAACCACCGGCTCCTCCCTTTATTTCAGAAGCGCAGAAAGGGAGAAGAAGGGTGGCAACAGGGGCGGGTTGGATGTGCCTTCTGACCCAAGCCTATTCACAATGACCTGTCTCTGAGTTGAGGGACATCTGTCATGGGTCGGAGGAGGTCCCCCCCAGCAAATGTACCCCTGCACTGCTGAGGGATGCTGTGTGGACAGGTGTCATGTGAGTGTGCGCTGTGTGGGTGTGTCATGTGTGAGAATGCCCTGTGTGTGTGCATGCTATGTTTCTTATGAATATGCTAGGTAGACGGAGCATGTTCTGTGGAGAGGGAAGTGAGGTGTGAGGAATTGATGTCCTTCCATAAGGATATTCAATAAATGAGGGCATATGACAGAAGCAGAACCCAAGCTCCTGAGTGTCCGCCCAGAGTCCTGTATCTCTAACCCTGCACGATCTTTTCTTCACTACCTTCTCCTTCATTGACTAATCCAGTTCACAAAAATATATTTGTGTTGGTTGTTGCTTTGGCCTTCCTCTAAGTCCAGCACCGCACGAGAGCAGGGTAAGTTGATACCTGGTAATGATTCTCGTCGACATCTTCATCACTGGCCCTGGTGGCGGCTGTGGCCATGGCAGCCATATCAGCAGGCAGCCCTTACTTATTAGGCTGTCAAAACCATGAGCTGAGTGATGGGTCTGTTGTCTCCTCTTCTTCCCCGGAGCTTTCCCCAGTGCTGCCTGCAGGCGAGTATCCCTCCACCTCCATATTGATATTTCTTCACTTCCTCCCACCTGTCTTCCTCCCCATCCCCATCCTGATAGCCAGTCAGAGGAGGAGGAAGATGTATTCGGCACCCTGAGGAGGAGAAGCTCTGTGGGCCTGAGTGCATATCTCCAGGCGGAAGAGGAACTGGGAAGTGGGGAGCCAGGGGCTGGGGTTCCACGTCGCCAGACACTCCGAAGAATCATCTCCATTGAGGAAGATCCCCTGCCTCAGCTTCTAGAAGGAGGCTTTGAGAAGCCACTGAGCAGATGCCCAGAAGAGGAGGAGGTCTCTGACCAGGGAACAGAAGGGCAAAGCGTGGTAGCCCCAGCCTTGGATCTCATCCCTACCTCTCCCCGAGGGCAGCCTGTTGGAAAAGAGACCATCTACAAGGTAAGGTCCAGGCAACACTGCTGAGATCTGCCCCTTGACTTTGAGCCCAGGAGCCCCAAAGGACAGGCAGAAAGCCAGCTGAAGTTGGCTTGGGGATTCACCGTGTTCTGTGTCCCAAAAGTCACCTTGTCTTCCCTTTATCTTTTAGGCTGGGCATCACGGAGACTCATATGTGTCTAGAAATCCTCCTTGTTAGTTCCGGTTTCCCCATATTACACACTTCATCTTCTAACTTGAAGCATTTATTGACCACCTACTGGATACAGTGTCTGCTAAAATCTGTTACAAGATGTCATTTAGTACAACTCTATCCAGAGTGCCTGTCATAGTCGTCCTCTTGATCTCAGTCAGCTAAGCCTCTGTCACTTCCCGGTGTCCTATGTCCTCTTCCCTCCAGGAGGTTTCTGTACACATCCCTCTCCTCGCTCAGATTTTCCTCTGACTTCTATAAGGAGAGCAGTTCAAAGATCATGGCACTTGATTCCTTACCAAATGCTCTCCCACAGGGTAATGCCTCTTTGCCTCATGGAAACTATGTCCTTCTGCTGGTTTGTGACTTGAACTTTGATATAGGCCATTCAGCCCCTGGCCTCTGCCCTGGTTTTCCAGAATGGCTCTAGAAAGTCCATGGCAGTATGCAAGAGGCATCTCTCTTGGGCCTCCCCTTTCCAAATCCCTTCAAGACACAGGCCTACACTCACTTTCAGTAAGCATAGGTGGCTCAACATCAAAGTCCTTACAAAGTTCTCTTATAGAGTATCCACTGTCGTCCCCCCCCCCCCAACATGTTTCCTCACAAGGCTGTGCCGCCATTTTGATGCAACAGCAGAGAGAATAAAGAGGGTCAGTTGTGTGGAAGACCTCCATGAGGCAGGGAGGCATAGACAGTACCACCCTTCTGCAGAGTAGCTAGTAATAAGAATCAGATGCCATGTATGACCTTTGAACCCACGCTTCCACTGCCAGTGAAAAGTGAAGGTTGCAAGTGCTGTTTAGAATAGAAGAACATTTTTTAAAAGGTCACCATAAGGACATAACCTATGTTATGATAATTTAGTAGAATATTACATGCCTGGTTTAAAAAATCATGGTTCCAAAAAATCTTTAGTGACTCAGGGATTTGTTTGTATTGTTATTGAAAAATTATGATAAAAGGATAAAATTATACACACACACACACATATGTGTGTAATTCTCAAATCCATTTAAATAAAACATTTTCTCATATAGCCATAACGACTGAAAAAAGCATAAAATGTGATAGTGACTATCTCAGACTATAAAGAATGTTTGCTTTTCTCCCTACAACTGTATATTTCTCAATTTTAAAAATTAAGATATATCACTTTAATTTTTTAAAATATTTACTTTATTTGTGTATGTGTGTAGACGTACGCACACCACAGTACACATGCAGAGGTCAGAAGACAACTTTCAAGAGTCAGTTCCCCTCCTCCACTGAGCAAGGTCTGGAGATAGAATATGAGTTGTCAGCCTGGGTAGTAGGCACCTTTATCACTGAGGCACCTTGCCAGCCCAGAATATACCACTTTTGTTTGAAGGCTTTGTTTTCTGACTTGGTTTCTTGGTGTTGTTGCTGCTTGTTTATTTGTCTGTCTACTCTGTGGTGCTGAGGACAGAAATTCACAGCCTTGTACATGGGGGGCAAACCTTCTATGACTTAGATACACCCTAACCCCTGCTTTTTAAGTATGTAGGAGGGCAAGAGAAATGACAACATATGTCCCACATCCCCGGCATGTCCCTACAACCCATCTGTCTGTCACCTGACAGATGACTATCCTCAAGAGAGGAAAGCAAGCAGAGGGACCTCCCTGCTCTTGTAGGTTAGGCTGTGACAGCTGGGCCATTCATGACATTATAGGCTTTACCTGAAAAGTTGAGTTCTTCCCAGGGAAGGGACAAGGTAGCCTTGGGGCTGAAAGCCAAGTGACACTCAACAATCTGAGCCACACAGCCTTCATCTCTGCCACCACTTGCACCTTGAGTTTCACATTCCCACCTCTTACTGTGTCTGCGCTTCCACATTTAAACAAATGACAGTTGGAGGCACTGGACAAGAGACGTGCAGAAGCCAGGGCCCCTGTGTATTCAATAGATAAAGAAAAAAGGACAGAGGGCATTGTTTTAATTTATCTTAAATTCTTATCGTTGACCTTAAGTTCTCTCCTAAGTACCACATCTCTCCCTGAAAGTCTGTGAGTGGCTTTGTTCTGAAACTCAAGTACTGCTGATATCAGCTGTGCTTCCTTACAGTATTTGCTGAACTGGAGAAGCTAAAGTCCCTCAAATCCACTTTTAAATCTACTCCGAAGAGTCCCCCCCCCCTTCAGTAGTGCTGAGCTGAGTTTGAAGGTGAGGCATGTGATCAGACAGCACTCTGGAAGAATCTGGGAGATGTCCCCCACACCATCTCCTGCTAAATTTGTACCCTAGAAAAAGTCTAGTGGTCCAGGACTCACAGTCCTAAGATGATAGCATGGTCCAGGGCTCACAGTCCTAAGATGATAGCATGGTCCAGGGCTCACAGTCCTAAGATGATAGCATGGTCCAGGGCTCACAGTCCTAAGATGATAGCATGGTCCAGGGCTCACAGTCCTAAGATGATAGCATGGTCCAGGGCTCACAGTCC